GAAACTTAAGATAATTTAAATAATAAACTTGAGAGAGGAAGAAGAAAACTAGTTTAAGGAACTACATTCTCTCCTACATAAGAAGCTTAAAGTTGACAAATCAAAAAAAAAATGATGATAAACTGGGCGTGGTGGCACAGGCCTATAACCCCAGGGACTCAGGAGGCTGAAGCAGGAGGATCTCCAGTTTGAACTTAGCAATACCCTGTATCAAAATAAAGAATAAAAATGGCTCAGTAACTCAGTAGTAAAGCACCCTTGCAAAGGTCAATCCCCAGTAAAAAAAAAAAAAAAAGGAAGGGGAGTAAAAGTATATATCACTAAGGGTTAAGAAGATAACGACCTAAGGCTGGATTGTGACTCAGTGGTAGAGTGCTCACCTAGCACGTGTGTGGCCCTGGGTTTGAACCTCAGCAACACATAAAGATAAATAAAATAAAGGTATTGTGTGTAACTACAACTAAAAAAAAAAAAGAAGAAGATAATGATCTAAAAATTCAAGACAGAAAAAGTTTTTAAAAAATTTTAAAAGATTCCCCTCTGTGAGCCTTGAAGAAGTAAAAGAAAACGCTGTTTTTAACAAAAGTCCTTCTGTACAACTGGGTTTACCAAGTGTATAGAGATCCCTTTGACAAAAATAATTCTTTTACCACAAACTTCACAGAATGCCAAACAATGAAATTATTCCTAAAATTAGGAGTGGCAGTCAAATGTCATAGTTGAACTTGTACAGAAGAACAAGATAAAAATCTTTTTTTCTTAAAAGAATTATGTTATTCAAATAAAAGTTTTCTACAATAGGCTGTAAAATAAAAAAGGAAAAATCTACTGAAGCTAGATCACTTTCTTTTTTACAATTCTTTGTTTTCTGGTTTATGTACAAAAGAATATGTACTGCATTATAACCAGAAACTTTTCAAATGTTCAATGTGACCAATGTTCAAAGTCAATGCTTCAAAGCCAGCCTCAGCCACGGCAAAGCACTAAGCAACTCAGTGAGACCCTGTCTCTAAATAAAACACAAAATAGGCCTGGGGGTGCTGCTCAGTGGTCCAGTGCCCCTGAGTTCAATCCCAGTGCTTCTAGTTGCTCGGCACTTAAGCAGCCAGTAGAGGACAGGAGGCGCAATGCCAGGGTTCTCAGAGGCCACGTGGTTTTCTGCTGTTACCTGAATGCTGCAGAAAAGCCTTGGTTGCTCTGGAAAGGGAACCTTCAGGAGGTACCCATCACATACCTGGGAATACCTTACCTGAAAAAGTGACAAAGACTTCTTAAAGTCTCTTAAAGATCAAGGCTGTTTTCCACAAGCCTCTGTGTTCAACCAGGGAAGTGACAAGGGCAAAAGGTGGGGGAGGGGAAAGGAAAACCACTTCAGTGTCCTCCACTAAAAGCATATGCCTTTCCAGAAGGTCTTCAACCCTCACGGGCCTCAGCTTTCTAATCAAAAACCAAAACAAATAGCAAAAAAAAAAAAAAAAATTGATCCTTGTCAATTCTAAAATCCTTACACTCTTCAACTCCCAACAGAGGCAAGGCTAGGGCTCTTCTGCTAGCCCATTTCACACAGGCTGGGCCAAGTAAAGACCAGATTGTCACCACCATTTTCAAGCTCCTACTTTTTTTTAGTGCCAGGAATTGAGCCCAGGGGTGCTTAACCACTGGGCTGCATCCCCAGCCCTTTTGATTTTAATGTGTTTATTATTTTATTTTGAGATAGGGTCTGGGTAAGTTGCATAGGAGATCACTAAATTGGTGAGGCTGGCCTAGAACTTGCAATCCTCCTTCCATCCTCCTGCACCAGCCTTCGGAGGTGCTGGGGTCACAGCCATGCACCAGGCACGGCTCAAACTCCTTAATCTCCCCAAATGCATTGCCTTTTGAGGCTGAATGACATTTAACTTTTACCTTATTCAAACTTTAAATAAAGCTCTGAAGGAAAGAACTTTTGACAGATGGTTTATTCTGAAAGATAATAGTCACAATGACTTAATTTCTTAAAGCCTCTTCACCCAGTAAACCAGAACACTTTTCAGGATGGCATTAGATGAGGCCAGCCTACTTCTGGTGGGTTGTTTTGTGTTTGTTTTCTTCCAGCTATCTGGTCTTGACTGTCTATTCAAAGTGAAAGGAAGATGCCCTCTGCTATGGGTAGGGGGATGGGCAGAAATGGATCACAGCAACTTCTGCCAAAATTTCCATTTTTGCCCTAAATCACAAACAGTCCTGGGTTTCACTAATCATTCAAAATACATGTACAAAAGGAATTGTTGCTGTTGTTGTTGTATGGGGGGGTCTTTTGTTTTTTAAATCTAGCTTTCCACAGATATGAAGGCAGACCGAGCTCTTTCTTTTTCTTCTCTTGTCTTTTTTTTTTTTTTTTTTTTTTTGGTGCTAGAGATTGACTCCAGGGATGCTTCACCACTGAGCTACATTCCCAGGCTTTTTTGTAATTTTTTTATTGAGATAGAATCTTACTAAATTTCCCAGGTTGGCCTTGAACTTGCATTAATCCTGCCTCAGCCTCCCAAGTCACTAGGATCACAGGTGTGTCCTACTGCCCCCAGCCCCAGCTCATATTTCAGATTTTCAGCAATCACATTTACACTGATCATCTACCACATAAGTATGTATTCATACACAGTTTAAAAACTGTCTAAGCCAGGCATGGTGGTGCATGTCTGTAATCCCAGCAGTTTGGGAGGCTGAGGCAGGAGGATCAAGAGGTCAAAGCCAGACTCAGAAATTTAGGGAGGTGCTAAGCAACTCAGTGAGACCCTGTCTCTAAATAAAATACAAAAACAGGGCTGAGGATGTGGCTCAGTGGTTGAGTGTCCCTGAGTTCAATCCCCTGTATCCAAAAAAAAAAAAAAAATGAGTCCAGAAAGTTTAAATTATTAAATTATTATAAATTACTGAATCTATATTTAAGTGCATTTTGGGGGGAGGGGGGAGATGCTGGGGATTGAACCCAGGGCCTTGTGCATTCAAGGGAAGCACTGTACCAACTGAGCTATAGCCCCAGCCCTTTATTTATTATTAAGTCCATTTTGATAAATCACCATAAAATAGGTAAAACTACATTTACCTAAGTGAACTTAATACATGATGGATCTGTATGCAGTAAAGAAACTAATGTCATCCTTTGGAACGATATCACTTTCAGAAAAATGTCATATTATCATATCATATACTTGACTTCCACCAGTCACTTGGAAATCAAAGCACTGGGCACATGTCTACACTACAACTCAGTGACCCAGAGAAGATAGGCTGTCAAACAAATGACCATTAGGTCTCTTTCAGGGTCTCAGTATTATGCCAACCCCAGAAACCCAAAAGAAAAAAAAAAACGACTCTTACATAAAGATGCTAACAATTGTCTGAACACAGTGCACACACCTGTAATCCTTGCAGCTCAGGAGGCTGAGGCAGGAGGATTGTGAATTCAAAGCCAGCCTCGGTAAAAACGAAGCACTAAGCAACTCAGTGAAACCCTGTCTCTAAATAAAATACAAAACAGAGGTGGGAATGTGACTCAGTGGCCCAGTGCTCCTGAGTTCAATCTCCCGTACTACTCCCCGCCCCCCCCACACACACACACACACAAAAATGATGCCAACAGGTTGGGGACAAGGAGAGACTAAGAACTGGTCATCTCTGGGCATATGTTCCTAAGGACTTCTCACACCCAGTACCAGATACTAGTGGCCAAAGAAGAGCTGGACTAAGCTTTCAAAATAGCACACAAGGTGTTAATATTTCAAACTTTTCAACACAGTTTTTGAAATAAAGTCTACTCCACCAAAGAAATATGGGCTTTAAAATGAACTCTGAGGCAAGTTCTTAGGCATCTCTCTCACTGAGCCAATGCCAGCCAGGGCAGGCAGTCCTACACCAAGCAAACCATCAGGCTCAGCTCACAGCCAGGCCTGAACAGCCTAACCCTGCAGCCTCCTAAGCATACTTCCAGTCCCAGCAGGGTTTCTGATTGGCAAAGTAATAATTTTAGGGTTCCCCAGGTGAACCGATCTCCTCTAGTGTTTGAGAATGCATTTTCCTCTACAATCCAATTTGAAAATTCAAATCTACTGTAAAAGTCATTACATCAAAAAGTTCAAACAGCTGGGTGCAAGTGGCACATGCCTATAATCCCAGCAACTGGGGAGGCTGAGGCAGGAGGATCCAAGTTCCAGGCCAGCCTTAGCATTAAGTGAGGCCCTAAGCAACCTAGCAAGACCCTGATTCAAAATAAAACATAAAAAGAGCTGGGGATGTAGTTCAAATCCCAGTTAAAAAAAAAGAAAAGAAAAGCTAGAATAATTAAGGGAAGCAGGGTAACGAGGGAGACTCCCGACTGGACAGTATTTTAGGTAACCAAGTGTGACATAATAAAACTCCTGACCCAATTTCCACACAATCGTGTTCCAACCCACAGCTACTGACATCACTGTGCTCTGTGGTCATTACGTCACCCGGTTGGGAGCAGTGCGGCCTACCAGGCCCTGTTCACTTTTCCAGCTTGCTTCTACCAAGAGACTAGAGGCTGCCGATCCTGTACCAGAACTGCTTCTCCCAACTCTTCCCTCTACATCTTGGTGTCAATCCCTATGGACCTGGCTGTGGGCTGGCTATCTGATCTAGAGCCCTCAGTGAAGACACAGGGGCTAAGGGCCTATGTCACCTACAGGTTTTATGGGAATCCCTCCCCAAAACTTCTTTTCTCCGAAGTGTGAGAGTTTCTAAGTCCTGAATCTGTTGGGTCTTCCAGGTCCATGAACGAACTTCACAGACTTTGCTGTTTCTGATCCCTTATAAGCCCATCTCCCAGATACTCGCCCCCTACTCCTTTCAGCTTTCCAAGTCTTGAAAAGAAAGCACTTACAGTCCCTCCGTGCCACCCCCCCACCCCCCGCCGCCGCCGCCACACACAAGCACACGCACACACTCGCGCGCTCGCCAGGCACCGCGACAGTGGCCCCCTTGGCTCCAGGCTGACTTACTTGAGGAAGTACGGCTGCCCAGTGGCGGTGAAGGCCATCTCCCAGCCTGGGGGCAGCGGCAGCTCGTCTGTCACGTCGTAGGACTGCTGGCGGAGGTGCGCGTGCTGCTGCGCGGAGCTGGCCGCAGCGCCCGCACCGGTGCCCAGCTGCAGGGATGCGGGAGAGGAATGCGAGCGGACGTGCTGCGCGCCGCCGGCCAGCCGCGGCCCGGGGTGGCCGCCCGACGAGTCGGTACTGGACTGCCGCGAGTGCGAGCCCGAGTCGGGCTCCTTGAAGAAGGACTCTGGCAGGATCTTCTTCCGCCACGAGCTGGGCTTGGGGTTCATAACAGAGTTAAAGAGGGCCTCGAGGTCCGTGTCGAGGTCCTGCGTGACGTGGATCACTTGCTGCCCGGGCGGCGGGAGCGGTGGGGGCGCCGAGGACGGATTCATCTTCTGCAAGAGGAAGGCAGATCAGATTAGCCTTTAGTTCAAGTTGGAGGGAGGAGTTGGGATGGGGAGGGAATAGGGAGAAGAGAAATAGAGGACACAGTTAGGTGTCCATACAGGGATCCCGGACACCAGCGGCAAGCCCAGCCGGATGGGGGAGGGGTCCCTCCTGACCTCCAGAATTATGCAACTTTCCTGAAGCCAAGAAGTTGCCGGGAGGAGGAGGAGCGGGGAGGTGGGGAGCAGCTGCACTGAGACGCTGCTGAACTGAGGTGGCAAAGGACCGGTCGTAGCTTTCCAGGGAAGGAGGCCCCCCGAACAAGTCAATCGGGCCAAGTCCGCGGAGTCGCCTCTCCGGAAACCGGAGGACACGGCGCCCTGGAGTAGTGCGGGCGAGCGGGCGCGCCAGCGGGCACTACCTGGGCGCGCAGCGAAGCCGAACCCGAACGCGCGGCGGCCGCCGTCCCGCCGGAGCTGGCCGTCGGCCCGAGTCGCCGGGGTGCGTCCGGAGCTGGCGGAGGTGGAGCCCCGCCCCCGCTGGCAAATCTCGACTGGACTTGGTGCCCGGCCGCCGAGGGACTTGCGCGCTCACATCCCCCGAGCCGGCCTCAGGCGCTCGCGCGTGGCGACAAGGAGGCGCAGAAGCAGCAGACGGCGCAGCCACAGCAGCTCCCGAACTGTCCCATAAACAAAGTTTGAAGCAAACTCCCACCCCCAGGAAAGAGGCGGGCCCGAAAGTTGAGCTGTTGAATTATGCATGATCTCCAAGTCCAGAGCCGCCTGTCCCGTTGGCCCCTCCTCTTCCTCCTCCTCCTCCCACCCGGGCTCCAGAAAACCCTGGGCGTGATGGGTACTTTACAGGGTAAGAGGAGCCGGGTGCCCCCCTCCCACCCACTCCTCCCGGCGGCGCGGACCTCTCCCGCGGAGCCCTGGGTCTGCATTCCTTTGCGTTTACCACGGACTTGGGGCGGGATCAAAGGGAAAGTGGCCCGAGCCTGTTTAATCAAGGGCTTGTGGACCGAAACCAAGCCTGAGGTGGCGGAGGGCACGCGGGTGAGGGGCCGAGGACGAAAAAGGGTCGTTCCTGGGCGCTGCGCCTTCCCTCCAGCAGGGCGCGGAGCCTCAGGCACCGGGAGGGCTGCACTGACCCGCAGTTCTGGCAGAGGTCAGGCCAGACTGCGCCCGGCGCGGGGAGACACCGAGAAGGCCAGCCTTTCTTCGGGAGGCTGCTTAGCGCTTGTGACCATATTTGGTCTGGTGAGAAGGCATCTTGGCTGCTTGGCCTTCAATTGTCTGCTAGAGCGCAGACGGTGCCCAGAAAGTGCCTCTGTTGCCGGAGGCGCAGCTTCGCCCACGGGTGGGTTGTAAACAACCTTCAAATCATTCACCAATCCTTCATTTCCTCCACGGGGTGAAGGGCCAGAAGGGGTAAAGAAGAAACTGGATCAAAGCTGGGTGCTGGAAGGGGAGAGCAGTTGCGCCCTCCTCCCCCCGCGACATCCGCGCGGGTAGTGGGAGGATTGGAATGTCCCTGACGCCCTCCAGGGAGCCAGGATGGAACACAGGCAGGTGGCTGGGAGTAGAGAGGGTGCGCCAGTGACCCGGAAAAAGCCACCCACCCTCCCACTGCCTGGATAAGGGCAAGGGGAAGACCCCCGCCTCGGGGAGGAGGTCTGGCCTGGAGAGACAGCTGCGGGGAAGTGGGAGGCGGCCTCGCCCTCCGCAGCAGCTCAATTCCTTCCCTCCCTCGTCCCTTTTCCCTTACCCGAAAAGAAGAGATGGCTGCAAGGTAAGTTAGGCTCCAGGAGGCCCCCACCCTTCCCACTGACCCAAATAGAGGTTTATTAAAGAAGCCAAGGGGGCGATATATGTTCCGCCCTTTGCTCAGCACTGGGCCACCTACACACCGCTTGTTAAATAGAATAAAATTTTATTAAGTTCAGGCATTGTGCTTCATCACTTTTATAAGGGTGAAACAAAGTCAAAATTAAAATCTCAGAGTTGAAGAAGAAAAGTTTAAGAAAAGACAAGGCCATTTTTTTTTCTTTTTTTCTCCCCCCACTCTTTGGTACAGGCATTGAACCTGGGGACACAACACTGAGCCACATCCCCAGCCCTTTCTATTTTTTATTTTGAGACAGGATGTTGCTGCTAAGTTTCTCAGGGTCTCCCCAAGTTGCTGAGGCTATTCTAGAACTTGCCATCCTCCTGCCTCAGCCTCTGAAGTCACTGGAATTACAGGTGTGTGCCATTGTGCTGGGCTGAATGGCTGCATCCTATCCCAAATTGAGATCCAAAGTATCTGTACATGGAAGTGCTCTTGTTCCATTCCTCACAGACTGGGGAAAAGCAGGGCTGCTTTAGAGGAAGACATGGGCTTGGATGAACTTCAAGATAAGTGGAACTTGGGTTGTCCAGAAGACCCTGAAACTTCATGTTTCCCGTGCCCACAGGACTGGCAGAGGGGAAGGGAGAACCACTGTAGTTCACTTGTGAGTAGAGTCTTTTTGAACTATCTTCAGAGAACACAGCAGTCGCAACATGAGGAAATGAGCTATGGAACTGGAGGCCAGCCATGACTAGGAGCAGATGGTCACTAATTCAGAAGCTGTGGGACTGATTTGATGGTGAAAGGATGGAAACTTGAGACCTTGCCTGCTCTAGGAAGGCCTTCACTGCAGAAGGAAGGTGAGAATCAGGGTACGAACTGAATGAACAGTAAGATCAAGGTTGGGATTAGATGGGCAAGGATGTACTCTTTATTCCTTACCAAGCTTCAAGAAATAGTGCCCAACACCGTGACTCTAGCTTGTGATCCCAGACACTCAAGAGGCTGAGGGAGGAGGATCCCAAGTTCCAGGCCAGCCTGGGCAAATTAACAAATTAGTAATTTCAGATTAAATAAAGGTACAGGTGTCCTGTGTGTAGCAGGTGCTGCCCATGCAGGGCAGCATGGGGCAGTAGTGAAGTATAATTTCTGAAGCAAAATGCTTGATTGAGTCACCTCAGTTAGAGGGTTAAGTTCTCTATTCCTGGGTTTCCCCTTTTGTATATTAGGGACATCAATAGTACCACTCATTATACAAATTTTATCTGTTGGACTGGGGATGTGGCTCAAGCGGTAGCACACTCGCCTGGCATGCGTGAGGCCCGGGTTCGATCCTCAGCACCACATACAAACAAAGATGCTGTGTCCACCAATAACAGAAAAATGAATATTAAAATTCTCTCTCTCACTCTCTCTTTAAAAAATAAAAATAAATAAAGTAGGAAAGGTATATTTAAAAAAAAATTTTTTTATCTGTTGACCTGTGACTTGGAATACAAGCTTTGGAGAGACTCTGCTCTCTACATTGGGCAAATGACCTAGCCTCCCTAAGTCCCAGCTGATTCACTTACAAATTGGTGATGAGGAGGTAATAGTCTGTCCTGCTGCCATGGACTGTGCTTGCTCTGTGCAGCTTATATAGTCCCTCCACTTAAATCTGGACTGAGCCAGGAGAATGCTGCAGTGACCAGTGACGTGAGCTAGTGCCGCCCACCCACTCCCTTAAGAAGGCATAGAAGCTTCTGCTTTTGCACTTTTGGGAAGACCTGAGTCACTAGATTCAAAAGTCCAACTACCCTGCTGGGGGAACCACATCGATAAAGAGATGTCCTAAGATTAGTGGAGGAGGGGAAAGTCCAGCTACTCAGTATCGGAGCTGATTTGAGCTCTACCCCTACAGGCTGACTGGAGACACCTCTGCAACCTCCCTACCAAATAGCAGCAGAACACAGCAAGCCCTGCCCAGAGGGCAGAATCGTGAGCAAATAAAATAGGTACTGTTTTATGCCACTAAATTTGGGGGGTTTAAAATACAGAATGTGCATTCTGCTGATTAAGATTTTTTTAAATTTTCTTGGTGCTGGGGATTGAACACAGGGCCTAACACAATGCTTTACCACCAACTACGCCCTCATGGAAAATGTAGACCCAAAGAATGGGTAACAAATTCTATATCCCTACTTTACAGATGAGGAAACTGTCTCTGATCAGAGAGTTTTAAAGTATTTTGTCCAAGTAAATACAATTAAATCATGAAAAAAAAAAAAAAAAAAACCCTGGGAATCAGCCCAGGGTTCTTAAACCCAGAGCAGAGCACTTTTCTATTCTCCTATCCCGTGTAGAGCCAGGGCCTGGTCCCTGGTGTGGCCATTTTAAATCCTCTTTCTGGGAGAAACTCCACAGTTTTTATAGGATAATCAATTGAGAGGACACACCTGCCGATATGCAAATCTTTCTCTGCATTTGCAAACACTTTCCACCCTAATCCAGCCCCAAAGCTTCCCTAGGTCCACTTCCTCAGGTAGCTTTCTTCAAGTGGCCCATCCCTCCTTACACAGTGGGCAGCCCAACTGCTGTTCCTTTGGTGCCCCTCAGATCCCTTCCTCCTTTCACACCCCCACATCAGGACCTTATCTCAGATTCTCCCAGGAGCCTCCCAACTGGTTTCTCTGCTCCAGTCTCTGTCTCTGTCTCCTATTTTCATGATGTCATTCTTTGGCTCAGGAATTTTTTTGACAATTGCCTGAAAGAAAAAATTTCCAAGCTGTCAATCTAGCACCAAGTTCTCCCAACAAATTGCCATCTGGGTATCTTTCTAACTTGCTTCTTACATGGCCCAATGAGAAAGTTTCCTCCATCCACTCCAGCCAGGCTGTGACAAGCACGTTGGGCCTGTTCTTTCAATACACCTCAGACGGAGTTCAAAACTCCGTCTGCTTTGACAAGCCTTCCCCAATCTCTCCCTTCTTTCTCCTAAATTCTTGTTCTTGCCTTTTTCACTGAGCCACATACCCAGCCCTTTTTATTTTTTATTATGAGACAGGGTCCCACTAGGTTGCTTAGGGCCTCAGTAAGTTGTTGAGGCTGCTCTTGAACTTGTCATCCTCTGCATCAGCCTTTTTTGGCTGGGATTACAGATGTGCACCACTGCACCTAGCCATGATTCCTTGAGCGCATAGTGGTTCTTTCTGATTGTGCCCATTCTTCTCTCAATACCTGTGAGTGTGCCCTTAACGATTAATGAGTACCCCCCACCACTGGCTACAATTGTGTCACTGCCCATCTGCTTGGCTCTTTAACAGGATTAGGAGCTCTTGGAGAAAAGTGAAGAGGACTTAGTTTTCCTGTGAGTACTCTCCAGGCAGATGTGGTCAGTACAAATGGTGGCCTAACACAATGGCCATTTTTTTGTTTTTTGTTTTTTGTACCAGAAATTGAACCCAGGAGCACTTAACCACTGAGCCTCATCCCCAGTCCTTTTATACATTTTATTTGGAGACAGGGTCTCACTGAGTTGCTTAGCACCTCGATAAGTTGCTAAGGCTGGCTTTGAACTTGTGATCCTCCTGCCTTATCCTCCCTAGCTGCAGGGATTACAGGTATTGCCCCCCACCCCCCCCCCCGTGCCTGGCCCCAGTGGCTCTTGTTCTAACTCTTTTGGGGGGTACTAAGGATTGAACTCAGGGGTACTCGACCACTGAGCCACATCCTCAGCCCTATTTTGTAATTTATTTAAAGACAGAGTCTCACTTGGTTGCTTAGAGCCTTGTCATTGCTGAGGCTAGCTTTGAATTCAAGATCTTCTGTCTCAGCCTCCCGAACTGCTGGGATTACAGGTGTCATTACCGCAAGGGCCTTGTCCCAACTTTTCATCTACCATTTTGCCTCAGCAAAGCCTCAGGTTGCTTTTCTTAGCCTCACACATCATTCCTGCCCCGGGGGCTACTGCCTAGATCCCAGTGACCGATTCCAGCCAAGGTGAATGGTTAGAAATGTGATGTGATGGCTCAGTTATTAGAGGACTGTGGCCCAGAAGCCCTTGGGCAGAACCTGCCTGGACTTGCTGAACCAGTATGGAGAAAATTCCCAAAGTCAGTGTTGGGTCATCATTAGCAACTGAGGAAGAGCAAAACAGATGAAGACCTTGAGTAGATAAAGGTTTGAATAATCAAAAGTCCAACTGTTGGCTTGTTTTTATAGAAATACAAGGATTGACAAGTTCACTGGGATATCAGAAGTGATACTTGCATACTTCTAATTGGCCAGATCCCAGCCATCTAGCACAGCCTCACTTAAACCAAAAGAAACTGGTGCATCCACCCTGTTTTGTTGTTACTCTCCAGGTGTAGTTCTCATTGCCTTGCTTCTCTTTGGTATGCTCCCCCCATCCCATACTGCAGAGAGAACCCAAGTACTCTACCACTGAGCTGCACCCCAGCCCTTTTTATGTTTTATTTTGAGGCAGGGTCTTACTACTTGCTGAGGCTGGCTTAGAACTTGAGATCCTTCTGCCTCAGTCTCCTGAATAGCTAGGATTCTAGGTAAGCACCCTGCACCCAACATTTGTTTAGTGTTTTGTTTTGTTTTTTTGCAGGGAGTGGGTACCAGGGATTAAACTCAGGGGCACTCCACCACTGAACCACATCCCCAGCCCTATTTTGTATTTTATTTTGAGAAAAGGTCTCACTGAGTTGCTTAGCACCTCGCAGTTGCTGAGGCAGGCTTTAAACTCACAATCCTCCTGCCTTAGCCTCCCAAGCTGCTGGGATTACAGAAATGTGACCAGCACCAGGCAGCATTTGGTGTTCTTAATTGCATCATGTACATGATAAGGAAGATGATAATAGATGGGACCAACCAATGTTATCTATTGCTTCAGTAGATAACACTGGGTCAAAGAAGAGAGGAATTCCTAAAATTTAGTCTTTGTCCAACTTTGGTACATTGTGTAAGTTATTTTATCCCTTTTTATTTTCTTTTTTTTTTTTTTTCTTTTTTGGTGCTGGGGATTGAACCCCCAGGGCATTTTACCACTGAGCTACATCCCTACATGCCCAGTCCTTTCTGTATTTTATTTTGAGACAGGGTCTTGCTAAGTTGTTTAGGGTCTCACAAGTTGCTGAGGCTGGCTTGAACTTGTGATCCTCCTGGCTTCAACCGCCCAAATCATTGGGATCACAGGTCTATGTCAGGTCTCTTCATCATGGCTGGCCACTATTCATCTTTTTGCAGGAGAGGGTTCTGGGGAAAATATTTTTCAATGGGGAAAACACACTTTTGAAAATGCTTAACTTATTAAATGCTTATAATAGTGTAGACACAAACTATCAAGCAATATTGCAGAGTTGCCAACTGTAGCATGATCTGTAATAGGGGAAAAGTAGAAATTTTCTGCAAGAATAGCAGCTAGGCACAGAGGTTTATGCCTATAGTCCTAGCTACCCAGGAGGCTGAGACAGGAGAATCACTTGAACCCAGGTCTTCAATACCAGGCTGGGTAACATAGGGAAACCCTATCTCAAAATTAAAAAAAAAAAAAAACTGTGGGCAGGGGGAGCCCAAGAGAATGACTGACTACATCCAACAATGAAGTTGATTTTTTTTTTTTGGTCTTTTTTTGGTATTAGGGATTTGGGAATTTAACCAAGGGGCACTTTACCACTGAGCTACATACCCATATTTGTTTGTTTGTTTGTTTGTTTGTTTTGTTACTGGGGATTGAACCCAGGGGTGCTTAACCACTGAACCACATCCCCAGCCCTTTTCATTTTTTATTTTGAGACAGGATCTCGCTAAGTTGTTTAAGGTCTCACTAAATTGCTGAGGTTGACTTTGATCTTGAGATCCTCCTGCCTCATCCTCCTGACCACTGGGATTAGATTGAACCCAGGTATGCCCAGTATGTGTGTGTGTGTGTGGGGGGGTGTCTTGCTAAATTCCTAAGCCTGACCTCGAATTTGTGATCCTTCCGCTTCAGCCACCCAAGCTGCTAGGACTAAAGACATGTGCCACCCACCTGGTTCCAGTGAAGTTTGTATAGGTATGGGAAAGTATGAAGGTGATACAGCCACATGAAAAAGAGACTTTAAGTTATTTGATTATTTGATATGATCACAGCAACCCTGGAGTAGTCGGAGAATCAAAAGTTGGAGGCCAGCTAGGGCAACTTAGTGAGATCCTGTCTCAAAATAAAATTAAAAGGGCTGGGAGTGTAGCTCAATCCCTAGTACCACAAAAAAAGTGGGGGAGAGGAACATACCCCCACACATACACACACACACACACACACACACACAAGTGTCTCTCCATATACTTCAATCTGAATAAATGTATCACAAAATAAAACATACATTTTTCCCCCCAGGCTGGCCTCAAACTCCTGGGATCAAGGCAGCCTTCTTCTTCAGCCTCTCAAGTAGCTGGGCAAATTCATGGGTTTTTTTTTGTTGTTGTTTTTTTGTTTTGCAATACTAGAGATTGAACCCAGGTGTGCTCAACCACTGAGCTACATCCCCAACCTTTTTTATTGGTTTGTTTCTTTTGTAGTTTTGAGACAAGTTCTTGCTAAGTTGCTGAAGCTGGCCTCAAACTCCCAATTCTCCTGCCTCAGTCTCCCAGTAGCCTGGCTAACTGAGTGTTTTCTGAATGCACACTGTGTGCCCAGAGGCAGCCTATCAGGCCCACTTGGAAGAGTTTACCGCCTAATGAGGCACTCATTGGTTGACTCCTCCCTCTGCCAGGGGAGTCCCAGGTCTGGTTCCACCAGCTGTTCAAGCCACTCCTCTTCCCTGTCTTGTTTCCCTGTTGTCAGGAGCTAGGTGTGTGCAAGCTCTACCATGACCTCTCTGTCTGCATATTGTCCTGGCTCCAGTTAGGCCACTTGTCATACCTGGTCAAGAAAGGTCAATGTGTGGTTTGTAGCCAAAGAAAAAAGAAGAGGACCTGCCAAACCAAAATGGGGTACAAAGAGGGGGTCCAGGAAGGGCATCTGGCCCCACAGGAGAGCCAACACCATGGGCACAAGCCCAACTCACACATGTTTAAAAATGACAAAAAGCTCTTTTTAAAATTCTTATTTCCAGACGATCTTAAATAAGAGGGTGGATTCGTTCTCACAAGGTGTTTGGCCATAATAAATCCTACTTTGATCACATGACTGAAGATGTCACCACCTGGTAATGGTAATTAAAAGTTGTTAGTATTTCAACCACTACAATCATAGTAAGTAACATGTGTAATGTTTTAAATTAGGCTACAAGACAATTTCATGGGTACAATGGCACAAAGACCTCACAGAAACCCTTGAGAATGGGCAGAGAAGCCTTCCTAGGACTCCCTCCATACAAAGAAGACCCAAGCTTCAGAGAAATATGTCTTGCCAACGGCCATCAACTTGTAGTAAGAGAGCCAGGACCTAGGTCCTCCAGGGCCTCCCAGGCTTTCAAATGACACTTCTCGTATAACTTCTTAACTGAGTCAGAGTCATAATTGCTTCCTCTTCTGTGAGCACACATGATTCTCTTTTCCTAAAGTGGGGGGAGGGGCGTATTTTCAAAGTCATTTTCTTCCACGGACCCACAGGACCTTGTCACGGTGCTTTGTCACCTAATGGTCATTCAGGGCCCAAAGACTCCAAAAATGACAGAGCTGTCTCCTCCCTCTCATTAAATAAACAAAAACTCAAATGTGTCAGAGGTACTTAAAATGCTGTCAGACCCAAATCGTTGGAGTACTTGCATAAACTGAAGAACCCTTTGGTGATATAAATCATCACAAATTAACATAGAACAGGCAATCCCCCACCCCCTTTTAAGCATTGTGTCCCTAAAGTTATTTGGTCATTTCCAACTCAGAATGTCTTTCGTTAAAGAAAAACACATATTAATTTCTATGATGGCTAGGCACCCTGGCCACCTTTTGTGCTCCAGATCCTGAGGCCCCACACCTCCCAACATCCTGCTGGAAGCCTCTGGTCCTAGAGAACATACACAGTGCTCTTGATGGCCCACCGCTTCAGGGCTACACACCACAAAGCCAGCAGCTCCACGTCATAATTCTATCGAATCATCGTCTCCCCACTTTGGAAAAAGTGTTGTAGTTTGGAGCCTGAAGGTCCCGCAGAGGCTCATATATTGAGGAGTCGGTCCCCAGTGCAGCAAGGTCCAGAGCTGGGGCTTTGGGGACATGATTGGATTATGAGGGCTCTGGCATCATCCGTGGGTTAATCTGATGATGGAGTCATAATCTGGTGACACTATTGGGAGCTGGTGGGGCCTAGTTTTGCAAGCCAGTCACTGAAGGTGTGTCCTAGAGAAGTTGATCTTGCCCTTGGCTGCTTCCTCCTTCCTCTCTGCTTCTGGCCTGCCATGAGGTGAGCATCTCTGTCCATTTATGCTCTCCCTGCCCTGATGCTGTCCCTCACCACAGGCCCATAGCAATGGAGCAGCCAATCATGGACCGAAACCTCTGAAACTCTGAGCCAAAATAAATCTTTTCCTCCTCTAAGTTGTTTTTCTCAGGTATTTTGTCACAGTGACAAAAAGCTGACTAATGCACAAAGAGTTAAGGCAAGAGAAATCTTATAGGTCATTCTGCATATTTCCTTCCACCTCCCATTATTTCCTGTTTTATAGGAAGGAAAAGAATCTGAAAAGAATTAAAACATTTAAAAAAAAAAAAGGCAGAGAAAAACTGAGAAAATCCCTGATATACCCACCAACTTACTTAAATTTTTTTTTCTGTCTCCCTGTCTGGCCTCAAACTCCTAGGCTCTAGTGGTCATCCTGTGACAGCCTCCTGAGAGCTGGGATCAGTCTTGTACCACTGTATCCAGGAGGAAACTTCTATAACTGCTGTCGATGAGAGTGTAGGTCGAGGCTCTGCCCTGGCTCAGGTTGCACCTGGAGTTCACCATTAGAGGTGACAGTGATTCAAAGTCTGCTGAGCTGACATGGAACCCCAAAAGTTAACTGCTTAATGGCTTTCAAGGATAAAGGCCCCTAGTTTTTTAATCATCCATTTCTTTTGTAAATATAAAAGACTACCTCTTTTCAGTTAGACAGGGTGACTTGTACCTTTCAACAGGGAAGATGAAGTTCTTTGTCTAATATTGCAAACACATTCTCAGGTAAGAAATCTGTCACTTCCACCGGCCCTAGGATGGGTACATCGAGGTGCCCAAGTGCTGACATTCACAGCTTCACATCACGGCCCAGGTCAAATTAGAAGTGATGGAGCTCATTCTCAGAACAAAATAAGTAGCTGCCAATAGAGGAAGGCGCTTCCAATAAATTCTCTGTTGATTCTGGGGCAATAGCTTTGTTGGCTCCTCCGTAAGAGCTCCCTCGGACACTCCTCTCCGAGAAAGTGTCACTTGGGTTTCAGGGCTTTTTGTGTCAGTGTTTGAACACCCCCAATGAGATTGCCAAGAAGTCGCAGTCGCTTGGCTGGAAAAATCAGCATGATCTGGTGGCAAAAGGCATCTTTGCTGATGAATCCTGCCTTTGACTCTGGGCAGCTTGGCCATCTGGTGACCGTGCAGCCTCCAGAGCACGGGGTGGTGTGGAGAGGCCTGGCCCTTCACCTGCATCACCAACAGCCTTGGGGCAGAGACAAGGGTTCTGCTCAGTCTCTTCCATCTCACCCTCCCAGGAGTTTGGTTCTCATGGGAAAAGTAATAAGAAGAACCTCACATATAGATGTTTTCCTTGCATGGGAACCTTCTTGGTGATTGCAAAATCCCATCAAGGAACATCCCAGCCAAGGATATTCCTGCACCAGTCGCATTGATTTGCAGCCTGGGAGCAGTGGGCATCAGTCTGAGAACAAGAGTTCTCTGCCTTTATTCTCTCACACAAGCATCTGAACTCAAGGCCTCACTTAAACCAGAAATCTTCATTCTTCTGAAAATGCCTCTTCATTTGAACTTATGATTCTGTGACTTAAAGAGACAGAGTCCCGGTTACTAGCATCCATTGAGAAGTGAAAGAAAGGAAACAAAATTAACCCAGAAAAACTCTGAAGGTGGTCTTGCCTTCTGAAAACCCAGAGGTAGATTTCTGCTTCTCGGGTACAAGTTCTAGACAAAGCTAAACCACTCTGTAACCAGCCCCCAGGACAGTTTAATTACAATAATCAACATCCATATTTATACCATATTAATAAGGTAGGTATCTGTTCAATTTTCAGTGAGTAAACTATTCATGAAAGAAAAAAACTGGAGAAAATCATAAGTCCTTGGGGGGGGGGGTCAGTTCAGGTTCACCAGGAAGCAGACACCAAGCCTGAGAAGAGCAAGACATGAAAACAAACAAAAAAGAGCTAGCCACAGTGGGTTAATTCCCATAGGGGTTAAAAGGAGAAGGAAGAAAAGCAGGTCAGACCACAGGAAGGGGACCAGGCAGGAAAAGCCTCTGATGCACAGCTCTGAGGCAGGCCCCCGGGGGCTCCAGGCAATCACTGACTGATTAGTGGAGGAGATGCCCCATGATGCAGCCTGGCTGGACTCTAGCACTTGGTGGAGGGAGCCATCAGCAGGGGAGGAGACACAGCCCTGGGGTGCCCAGCACTATATGTTCACAGGTAAATAGACAATGGACAGATGGATAAAGGAAATGTAGCCTGTATGCACAATGGAGTTTTAATGCCATAAATAATGAAATTTTGTCATTTGCAGGAAAACAGGTGGAATTGGAGATCATCAGGTTAAGTGAAATAAGCCAAACTCAAGACAGTCATGGGTTGGATGCTCTCTCTCATATGAGAAATCTAGAGAGCAAAAGGAGGGGGAAAGAAAAGTAAAAACCCAGATCTTGTGAAAACAGAAGGGAGAACAGTAGAGGATGGGCTGGGGAGGGAGGAGGGAAGGAAATCCCGTCACGTGCACATATGAGTATATCCCACTGAAGCCACCATCAAGGATGATCATAAGGTGCTACTAAATTTCGTTTTAATGTCACAGTCGGTCCGTTCACTGCAGTCCCCACAGCAGATTCTCCACTGAGTGTCCGGGGGCCCTAACCAGTCACCAACCTGGCCTCCACACACTCCACACACTGGTCTACTTTAGGAACGCAGTTCCCCAGGTTCCCGTGGGGTTCACCTCCTGAAGGGAAACTAGGAGAGAGAAGTCGGTGAGCAGACCGTAGTCCCTGTCACCGCCACGGCTGTTGAAGCCGCAGCCTTCATCTCCTTCCTCTACAGGTCACTCTGACCCTCCACATCCAATGGTGTCACTTCTGCAGATGCCAACAGGCAGTCTGGGACACAGCTCAAGTCTTCACTCCCAAGCTCCAGGACCCGAGATCACAGCAGACTGGGGTGCCGCCAACGTGCCTTCAGAGTGACACTGACCCGGAGAAGGAGACCAGAGGGCTGGGAGTCGGAAGTCCTGGCCACCACACTCCTCCCTGCCTCCCTGGGACAGAGTGGCCTCAGCACCTCCCAGCCAGGGGGCAATGGTTCTTCCAGCCTGCTGGTCCCTGGACACAGGAGTCTCAAGTACCTAGGTGGCCTTCGTAGGCCATAGTGCACTGGTACCCCTGCTGTGTCCTGTTGCAAGAGTCCAGAGTGAGGCTGACTTGCTTCTAGCCCTTTGTTTGGGACCCATCCTTCCTCCCATCAATGGCATGGCCTCGCAGCAAGGTCCCTATAGAAGGTAGCACTGCTCCCTGAAGCCAGGACCTCACCTGCACAGCATGCCTGCTACAGCTCTGCCTCAGCCACCTCCACTGTCCACACTACCCACGCCTTGTCCATGGCTTCTGGGGGGTGGCCTTCACACCTTGTGCTCCCACCCACCCACCCACACACCACTGCTTCACACCTGTTGGTTTCCAGGTCAATGGCTATCTCTTCAACCTCTTTTCTTTTATCATATTTTTCTTTTTTTTGAGACAAGGTCTCCCTATATTGCCCAGGCTGACCTCAAATTCCTAGTTCAAATAACCTTTCACATTAGCCTCCCAAGTAGCTGGGACTACAGGTCTCACCACAGCACCCAGTCATTTTCTCATCTTCCGGAGGCCCCTCTCGTTCCTCTCTCCTCTCCTCCTTGCTGATCACAATCCACTTTTGACTTGCACCCCATGTACTGGGTCAGCCAATCCATGACCATGCTTGTGCTTTCTCCCTCTCCAACTGGCTGGGGTCCTGCAGAGAGCAAAGGGAGCCTTTGCGTCCATGTGGATGAGGTGAGAGTGCCTCCTTGTCCTGCTCTGGCTAATCCCAGATGAACCGCTTCCACCTGCCGAGGACTGTTCTTGAACTTGGCCAGTTTTAAATGATGGAGCCAAAGCACCCAGCTCATACTAGGCAATTCTGAATGCACATCCTTGGGTGACTCCTGGAACCTGGTAGAGCACCCCGAGCTGTCTTTAAATGTCTAACTCTCTGCTGCGAGATGGCACGGGCCTGCTCTAAAAGTTTTAGGGCCTGCCCTTCTCCTACTGAGGCTTGCCCTAAGTCGTCTCCAACACTACAGGCTCTGGCAGTGGTCCAGTAGCAAGACTGCCTGCATCAGAACCTGTGGTCACTGTAGAGCCCTTTCCCCCTCTGGGCCTCACTCAGAGAGCAACCTCCCGTGTCACTGGAGAGTCACTGGAGACCGACTGCAATCCAAGGCTCGGTACAGAGTGTGCTGCCTCCATTACCAGAGGCCCTCTGCACTTCTTTTCTTGCAGTAGAGGTATAGGATGCAGCATGCTCTCTTACTCTGGGGAGACTCCCCCCAAACACCCCTGGTCACTGAAAACTCATACATTCTACAGAAATTTACTGGTAGGTCCCAGGCCCTTCAGAGGGTTTGTCTCCTCCACTTTGATATCCATGTCCCTCACCAAAGCCTTCAGAGTAAGAGTCATGGCTTACTCATCCTGACAAACCAGCACAGTGTCACTGGTGTGATAGATCAATTTGAGGTCCTCTGCTGTCCCCAGGGCCCAGATCCACATCTGAACCATCTCTAAGAGGGTGAAAAAGTTAACATGGCCCTCAGGCAAAATTCTAAATAGTACTCCTTTCACTTGAATGCAAACTGTTTCTGATCCCTTTTTTTCTAATTGGAGTGGAAAATAACTCAATTTCCAAATCGCTGGCCTCATACCTTGTACCCTGAGGCCTTCCTAATCTCTAGCAAAGAAAAAGTGGCTGGGATCCTGGTAACTGCAATCATGGTTGCTCCTTGTTTGAGTCTGAGGTATCTGTGATCATTTTCTGGGATCCAGATTGGTGAATTCAACAGAGATACAACAGGTACCGCCACTCTTCTGCACCCTTTAGATCTCTAATGGCAGTAACAACCTCTGCCAATCCCCACTCTCACCCCACTCTCAGGCTGCAATATGGGTCTTGATTGCCATTCTCTAGAGCTGGGCAGTTTGGCAGGGTATCGTCTCAGATCTTCTACTTGGTGTTTTTTACTATGATAGTTCTGATCCCACTCCTCCAAGGTCAAGGACCCAATGTGGAAATCAGTCCAAACACCAAGAGCATCAATCTCAAATATATATTCAAAGTCTGGAAAAACAGCCATTCAAGTGTCCACCGTGGGTCAGACTTCAGCCAGAACTTTATTTATCAGCCTTCGATATACTCTAACAGTGAGGAGGGGCATGATAATGGTCAGGTCTCCAGGTGTTAATGTCAACTCAGAACATGTCCCTGAAATATCTGAGTATTCTCTTTCCCTAGTATATAGTCATGCAAGTAAATAGCTTTAGGTCCTTTAGAATATTACTGGGGAACCTTAAAGCATTACTTGAAGGTGGTTTGTGATTAAATAAGAATTCACATTGAGGCTTGACTCCTCAACGTAGCCATGAGAGGTGGGAACTGGTAGAGGTATTTGGTCCTGTGACTGGAACCCTCATGAATGGGTTTCTGCTTTTCTTGAGACAGTGAGTTTCCATGGGAGTGGTTTAGTTACAGCAATGGCAGGCCATTAGAAACCAAGTCCACCCTCACAGTCTGCTTTCTCTGCAGGCCCCACTTCCCGTTCGATTTCCACTGTGAGTCCAAACAGCATCACACCCTCAACAGAAGCCGAGCAGATGTCAGTGCCATGCTCTTAGACCTGCCAGCCTCCAAAACCATGAGTCTAAATAAACCTCTTTACTTTGTAATCCAAGCAGTCTCAGGTATCCTATTATGGCAACAGGAAACAGACAAAGACACTTGCTATGGTGTTCCAGGATCCCAGCTCCTGGGGACCTGGCCACCTCTTAGTCAATGCCTTCCTGATCTGATCATTGGCTCAGGCCTTAGCAAAGACTGTGAATTTTTCCTGGGGCAAAATTCTGTCTCCTGCTCCCTCATTCCTTCCTTGTTCTGATTAGATGTTAATTAACACCCTCCAGGTTATGTAATACACTCAGAATGTTAAGAAACCTATGGAACATTCTAAAAGCTATTATTAAATATCAAAGGTAACCAATTTAAAAGGCAATTTTACTTAATAATAATACATTATTTAAAGCCATGAACTTCTACTCCTAGGTATAAACCCCAAAGAAATATTTTGGTGCATTCACCCAAAGACATGGAATTTTCACATTCACAGATTTTTAAAAAAGCTCCAAATTGGGAATACCATTCAAGAGTAGATTGAGCCAGGCATGGGGGCACATGCCTATTGAAAGGCAAGTGACTCACCAGAGTCAGAGATTCAACCAAGAGATTTATTGGGGGGCTTCCCGAAGGGGGAGAAAAGGAGAGGCAGAGAGCAGAGAGAGGAGAGGAGGAGGGCAGAGAGGAGAGAGGCAGAGAGCAGAGAGGAGAGAAAGAAGAGGAAAAGGGCAGAGAGTGTGAGCTTGCAAGCTTGGCCTTAAGAAGGGTTGTGTGTGCCATGTGGTAGGTACTGATTGGCAGGGTGACTCAGGAAGATGATCTGCCATTGTGTCTCCAGGGGATTGTCCAGAAAACTTGAATTTAGTGCCCTTCGGAGAGGAGGGAGAGGGGTAAGGGATTCTGTGATGTTCTCGCAAGATGGAAACGGGGAGTCTCCCACACACCCAACACCTATAATGCCAGTGATTTGGGAGGCTGAGACAGGAGGATTGCAAGTTCAAGACCAGCCTCAATAATTTAGCGATGCTCTAAGCAAGCAAGACCCTGTCTCAGGATAAAAAATAAAAAGGGCTGGGGATGTAACTCAATGGCAAAGTGCCCCTGGGTTCAATCCTTAATGCCAATAAATAAATAAATAAATAAGAGCGACCCTTGAGTCTATACTGTACAATTACATTTATGCAAATTACAAAAACAGGAAAATCCAATCTGTGTGGCTTGAAGTCTAGACAATGATCGCTCCTGGCAGGAGCAGGGGCGACAGGAAGGCCCTGGGCAGGCTTGTCTGTAGACACTGGAAAGATCTGCCTCTTTGTCTGGGTACTAGTTCCGTGGTGTGTTTGGCCTGTGAGAATTCACCTCACTGTGCTCAGGATATGTACATTTCTGCACGTACATTATACATCATCAGGAAGCTCAGAGCAGATATTTGAAGCCAACAGAGGAGAATCTCCGAACACAGTTCCCAAACTCTGAAGGGCGTCACAATCACTCTTTTCCCAAACCTACAGAATCTGGGGGAAGAGTGGTGATTGAAGCCTTTGAAGCCTGGTGTGACCCCTTAGGACAGCCTTTCAGCTCACTTATGGCGGCTCTGTGAAGGAGGAGCTTCGCGGACCTCAGGGTCCTGAGCTGCTGGGCTCTCTGTGGACCCTTTCACCCCTCCAACAGTAGCCAGAAAGACTTTGTACTTTCAGCCAGACATTGCACAGTACTTAACAAATGTTTAACTCATGAGTCCTCAGGACAACCAAGAAGGAAAGGTTTGAAAGGAAAAATCAAACAGTTCTCCTCCTGTGTCACGAGAAGTGGGTAGACACCTAGCCGGGCAGCACACCTGCAGGCTCCTGACACCCAAGCCTGTTCTTGGGTTTGAACCCCGTCTAAGGTGACCTGGACAGTGGGCTTCAAAAGCACACTAGAAAAGCTCTTGCTCCTTCTTCCAGGCCAGAGAGTCCACGAACCTTTCAAAGGAGGTTTGGTTTTGGTTTTTACAGGTTCTTAAGAGGCCTCTTCAGAGGTCTGAAGATCCTCTAAAAAAATCTTTATCCCCTGGCATGCCCCCATAAGAATTTTTTTGAAACCATGAACTCTTCTTCCCCTCCCTCCCCTCCTCTTCTTCCCCTCCCTCCCCTCCTCTTCTTCCCCTCCCTCCCCTCTTCTTCCCCTCCCTCCCCTCTGCTCAATCTAAAGTTCCTCCCTTCTTCCCTTGCCCCCTGCCCATTATGGATGAGCGTCCACTTATCAGAGAAAACATTTGGCCTTTGATTTTGGGGGATTGGCTTACTTCGCTTAGTATGATAGTCTCTAATTCCGCCAATTTACGTGTAAATGCCATAATTTCATTCTTCTTTAAGGCTAAGTAGTATTCCATTATGTATACATACCATAGTTTTTTATGCATTCATCTATTGAAAGGCATCTAGGCTGTTTCCACATTTTAGCTATTGAGCTACTATAAACACTGAGGCTGCATCTCTGTAGCATGCTGATAGATCTTTTATTTTATTTTTTTAAAGACAGAGTCTCTCTAAGTTTCTGAGGGCCTCACTAAGTTGCTGAAGCTGGTCTCAACCCTGGGATCCTCCTGTCTCAGCCTCCCACATTGCTGGGCTTGTGGATGTGCACCACAAACATATGCTGGGTCAAGCTCTTAGCTTAGTAGTCAAAAACTTTACATTCTTCCCTTCTCTCCTTAAGCTCATGTTTCTGTTCTACCTCTCCCACACACTTT